TATATGTATGTATATATATGTATATATATATATATGTATGTATATATGTGTATATATGTATATATGTGTATATATGTATATGTATATATGTGTATATATGTATATATATGTATATGTATATATGTGTATGTATGTATATGTATGTATGTATATGTATGTATGTGTATATGTATGTATGTATATGTGTATATATATATATATATGTATGTATATATGTATATATATATGTATATATGTATGTATATATATGTATATAGTTGGAGTTTATGTTTTGTTTTTCTTCGAGCTTCCGTGACTGAACTCCACAACATTTCCAGGTTTAGAAAGACTGGGACGCGAGATGGTCTTGGTGGGGTGGGGGGGCGGTTCCTCTGGACTGAAAACATTTCAGTCGACCCTTTTTCTGGAGGCCCTGCTGCCCTCGGGGGGGGTGTTGCACTGAGGGTGAAACAGCAGGACTTTGAGCTGATTGTGGTAGCAGTTTTAAGTTGATGGTTTAAGAAGCACACAGAGTCCAATCAAACTGGGAGAACATGAAACCAACATTCGGTTCTTTTATTCTTTTTGAACGATCTTCGCAATGAGACCAAAACTGAGGAGTGGGGGGGAGGCAAACAATTTGGAAGACGAGCGCAAAGCACGGTTGAAAGAGGAATACTCGAGCTGAACAGGAAGTCATGTGACGTCCCACAGGAAGCCAGCAAGCCTTCCCTAAAACCCCTCAAAAAACTGCCAGGACGTCAGTGCTTTAAAAAAAAAAAAGAAAAAAAATGCAAGCTATACGTTCTCGCTCTGTGCATTGAGATTTCACTGCAGTAAGTCTTTGTTTTTAACTTGCACTTCAGTGTGTGTTTTTTGGAATCAGGGACCTGTGCCTCGACACGGCCGAGTTTACCCAACAGTATTAAGATGTGTCCTCTTTGTCTGTGACCTCTGACCTGAGGGGGGGGGAGTTCAAAAGCAAAATGGTTGGTTTCCACTTGGCATCAGACTACTGCTCTCTAGCATTTGTACACAAGAGAAAGGAAAAGAAAAAAGATTTCAAATTGAAATTTTAGATTTAACTGCCCGCTGTGTTGTTTGCAACTGACAGTGATGCTACAGATGAAGCCGGTTGAGAAGTCTCACTTTTAACTGCATGTTTACTGAAGCAAATAGAAGATCTCCCGAAAATCACTTGAGCAGTTTTAAAGTGGCTGCTGGTGTGCTTTGCATCCCTGGTTTAATTTATACTTGGTGTAGTCACATCTTGTCCAGATAATTTCAGCAGCTATGCGACAGCAAAAAAGTGCTTTTAAGGAATGTTTGACATTTTGGGCTAGAGTTAGATGAGAAGATTGACGCCCCTCTCATATCTGTACAGTAAATATGAAGCTAGCACCAGGAGCTTGTTAGCTTAGTTAGCTTAGCTTAGCGTGAAGACTAAAATCGAGGCTAGCCTGGCTTTGACCAAAGGTAACAAATCTGCCTACCAACACCTCTAAAACTCACAAGTGAACACATTTAATTTTTTTTTTAAAACAACAAGTTGTAGTTTTATAGGGGGGGTGACATGCTGGACTTTTTCTTAACACCAATTTTTGGAATCTTGTAGAGACTGTGAGGTTGCTACGCTGGCAATTAAACAGACTTTTTTTACACATTGTTTTTTGTACGAATTACACAATGACAAGTTGAATAGTTAACCTCAGAGGTGCTTTTCAGCAGATTTTGTTACTTTAAGAGAGCTGTTACCCCATCTCTATTTTTATGCTAAGCTAACCTGACCAGCGACATGTTTATTGTGCAGACACGAGTGGGAGTGATCTTCTTGTCTCACCCTAGGCTAAAAAGCAAATAGGCCTATTTCTCAAAATGTCATACTATTCCTTCAAAAGGTTTGTGGTAAACATAAAGTTTTACTGTCGCCGATTCAGAATCACATTTTGATTCAACAGTCAGTCACGCAGAGAGAAATCTATCATTCAAATCCACAGCAAGCGATTTTTACACTCAAAGTAGCAAAAAAGGAGTGCGGTGCATAAAAGCTGAATTACACCAGGAATGCATTAAACATCACAGGTTGAACATGCAAGAGTGTGAGAAGATCTGAGGAGATTTTCCTGTAACTGTAGCTTTGTTCAACATCTACATGAAAATTTCACATTTATTGTCTGCTGAGATTTAAAGGATTTGAGCAACACAGAGTTGCTGATTGGGTAGAACATGCTAGAGAAGTGCTGTAAGCACGACTAATGCTTGTTAAACCCATTAATCGCTGAGAGAATTAATGTAATAAACATTAACTTTGTCACAGTTTGCAGCTAATAGTGTAATAAACTTGTAATACTCATCATTTCACTAGTTAAAGCCTTTGGCAGGATATTCTCCTTTCAGCGTGGAATAGATTATATATATTTAACAATTAAAGCTCCATACAAACTGTCACAACAGAATAAATTCAGATGAAAGATGCTGTTAACGATTTATATTTCAAATAATGTAACAATTGTATTCACAGGACAAAAAGTCATTATATTAATGGTAGACATCCTGTATTACATTGACCCATTGCCCAATGATTTCTCCATAGGTAGTTTTACAATGAGAAAACCTTTTTCTTCCCCTCATGTTGTATTTCACGTGAACTGTATCAGTCTGTTTGGATGCTTCACTGACAATTTATCACACTTGAAATAAGTTGTCTTTCATTTATTACGCATGTCGCTGTATTCAATGGTAAGAATGAAGGATTATTCCACCGTTAACTGCGAACTGTGTCACTAATAGTTTTTTTTTGGGTTTTTTTCCATGAACAGCAGTGACATGCACAAAAGTAGATTTCTGCAACCGCTAAATGTTTATTATTGTAAAACTGTAAAACTTTTTCAAATGTATGAATGACCTGAATTTATGTGAACGTGTCTGAGCGAGCGTGCGTGTGTATGTGTGCCTGATGCATGGAAGGCCTGCTGTGTTGTGAATTCGACCTCTCTGAAACACTGAGCCGCCGGTGAACAGTTGGTGTGTGACTCTTTTTACTGGAACTATTTATTTCTCATAACCATCGAAAGTAAATTTAATCTGTTTCATAATCAGTCTGTGCAGCGGTCGTTATTTGAGTGGTGAAAAGTGTGATAAATGAATATAGTACTTCTGAATATTCATTCATTTTATTCCAAAAAACAGTAACATTTCTCTCAACAAAACACAAGCAAATCACTGAGAATACATTTCCATTCATTTCTTTATAAAAATAACCAGGAGTCATTTTACAAAATAAAAGCTTTTGTGCAATTTTGACCTGGAATATCTATGAAAACCTGGTTTAAAGCTTAATACATTTACACAAGTCTTACAATATTGAAGGCACAGCTGGTACAAGGCTGAAACGTACAGTGCATTTAAAAAGAAAAAAAAAGAAAAGCATGACACTATTCGGATAAAAACAAGTTCACAGCGTCAAGTAAATGCAATGCAGAAGACAAAATGAAAAGACTTCTACAGCGTTTTAGCATGCTGGCTGGCAGGTGCTCTGCTAGGAGTCGGTGAGGGATTCATCTCGTGGCCACACTCAATCAACATCTGGACAAATCTTTATCAAGTTCAAAAATCAAAATTGTAAAAATTATCATTGTACTTTTTTGCATTCCCAAAAGGTTGACAAATGAGACAAAGCTATTGGTTGACTGTTGTAACACCCGAAACTGGTCACATTGTGAGATTTGTTCAAATTAAAGGAAGCCTCCACATTTTGGGAAATACTCTTTCTTGCCGTGAGTAAAATGACAACATTGATGACGGCTCTTCAGTTAAATATGTAGCTACAGCCAGCAGCTGGCTAGCTTAGCATACATACTGGAAACAGCTAGTCTGCCTCTGCCCAAAGTTAACAAAGTCGGCCTATACCTGTAAAGCCTGCTGTTGAAGATTAAATGGTCTGTTTTTAATCTGTACAAAAAAACGACACATTGTGGTTTCAGCGGATGTTATGTGCCAAACAATTTTTTTGCCTTCAGTCCTCCATAAAACAACAAATTGTTATTTTTTTCATTTTTGTACAGTCAATTTGTTAACTAGTACGCTTTTAGCCGCTTGTGAGATTTTGTCACCTTTGCACCGAGTAAGGCAAACTGTTTTTCACATCAGCAGTCTTTATGCTAAGCTAACCGTCCTCTGGCTGTAGCTTCATATTAAGCTTACAAACATGAGAGCGGTATCAATCTTCTCATCTACTCTCGGTAGGAAACCAAATATGTCTCTTTCCTCTTAACTGTGCGTTAGCATGACAAACAAGTACAGCTCCTTTAAGTAAATACATAAGTCTATTAAAGGAAGCATCTGTCGTTCTTCAGATCTTGTTATCTCACAATACCTGACAAAGATTTCCCCAGATCATTGTTTCAGTCAGTGATGTGGATATTTGACATTATTCAGGGCAGGGGGGAAATAGGGATAACATTCATGAAATTGCAACCAGTCTGCATCACTGAAGTTTAAACCGAGTGAAATGACACAAGATATAAAATGAGATGAGAAATGTAATGAGGTCTGACCTCCAGTCAATATCTTTGCCTGAAAAGAAGCACCAAACACCCGCGTAAAGAACATGAGGAGTTGAACTGTAGTAAACACAAAGAAATGTCTAATGCGGATACTCCTCTCAGAGAGCAAAGCTTCAGAGTGAAGCTCCTGTTTCTTGATATGATAAATGCAAAGGAACAGGTTTCACATCAAAGTCTAAATCGACTCAGAGGAAGTCCAACTCCTGCGTGGTTCATCGTCAGAGTCCAAGGCTGATCTTCTCTGTGCTGATCTGGCCCGGCTTGGTCTGGCCCAGTTTGTTCTTGGAGCTTGGGCTGGCATCAGCACTTGTGGGAGCTGGAGGAGAACAGCAGAGGAGAGGGACCATCCATGCTGGGTAAAGGCATAGAGATGTGTCCATTCAGCAGAGTGGGGAACTGCAGGGGGAAAGGTGAAATTAGAGGTGGAAGACACAGATAATATTTAACCCCCTGACATATTTCTTCATCAGAGAAGCATGGAAGCATGGTAAGTTATGACATACAGTATTCATTAAAAAAGGAAAATACATTTTTATAAACATTTTAAGAAGGTGAAGAAAGTGCAACTTTTGGTATTTACTGTTCAAGCACCTGTTTAGAATGTATGTGTTTATATAATCTTTCAAATTAGTCTGATGGCATAAGTTTGTAGAAAAAGTAGACAATTGGATTAGATTTGATACCAGCACTGTCTCTGAAGTCCGAAATGTTCAAATCCAACAGAGTGGCTTTAAAGAGAATTAATATGGTTAAATGGCTTACGTCATTGTGGCTTTACACTGATTAAAAATGTAGTGTCATTTAACAAGTGTATACACAAGCATATTGATTTATTGATCATTACTAGAAGATCGATATACAGTAGTCATTACATTAATGATGTCACCTCCATAATGGTGACAGTGATGTTAAAGTTAGTCAATGCTTTCACAGAGTGACTTGTGCAATAATATGAGGGAAACGTATATTCTGTCTGAGGTGATTGAATGTTGTAACAAACCTGTGTGACAAACAACATTTTCTACAGCTCTCTACTACTGCTGCTGCGTCACAGGAGAATCTGCTCTTACTTATATTACATTGTGGGGACTTAAGTAGTGCACCAGCGTTGTGAGGACCGACCCCCCCCCCCCCCCGTTGCAAGGACTAAATCACCGGCCATTAGATGCTGAACAGTTTGTTTTTGGAGTTGTCTATGTCTGTTTGTATCAAAAGAGTTGACATGGCTGGGAGGAGCTCCTGACCAACCAGCCCTCTCCCCCTAACTAACAGGATGTTGCCCCCTCTTCTTGTCCCCACCAGAACGGAAACATCTGTGGCTTATTTTGAAATCCTGGCACACGGTGAATCGCACATACACCAACACGCACACAACTGTGTGAAAACAACAGACGAGTCAAATCTTTTTTTTTTTTACACAGGTCGGTCAGAAGTGAAATATTTTAGAACTTATTTCACATAATTATCCATAAAAAGGGTATATAGCATTAAAGGAACTGGCATTTTCTCTTTATACACATTTCATGTGTATATTTTCTTGCGTTACAATAGTTAGGAGATTGGCAAATTGACTCAGTTACTCAACAACTAACATCGACGTTAGCTAACATTAGCCACCGGAAGCTACTGGTCATATCAGACCAAGAAAGGTTGTAGCAGCAGAACTCTTGAGAGTATTAACTGTGTTGTGAATTCTCCTTTTCATTTGTAAGAGTAAAGGATGTATTCCATGAATTCCATAGTGTCGCTTTAAATTAGGGTAAAGGCTAAGGTTCAGGTTGGTTTAGGGTAAGGATGATTTTATGTTATTGGAAGAAAGTTTACAAAAACATAGTGCTTGTCTAATTGTTCAACTGACACTGAAACACCTCTTTTCAACATGGGATACAGTGATTGGCCATTTGTTTGTTTGGCCAACAAGCAGTCTCAGAGTTCCTCACATATACAGCAATTCTAAATGCGTGGGGTTGCGTATGTGTGTGTGTATTACCTGAAAGAGGGGGGCATGGCTCTGCAGTTGTGCAGGGCTGAGGGGTCCCACCGGACTCAGGCTGGACCAGAAATGGATATTGGAGAGTAGAGGACTGGGAGTGAGCAGCAGACCAGACGGAGTCTACATTGACAAAAACCCAAAGTAAAATGTAGGATAAATACACCACGATGGAAATGTTGGTGTTTATTCTGGCCATGAGCCCAGAGAGCTGCTCATGGTCTGTGGTGGAGTTGTCAAGTCATACAGTCTCACCCACAGCTCGAAGCCAAGTCTGCCCTCTAGTGAACTCATGTCTCCTAGACAGACGGACTTGGCAGACTGACTCCATACTAGTCAGGAAGCTCCACTCATACACAATTCATGACATCTATTTTCTTCTGTCTCGTCTTTCTTTTGTCTCATATTTGACTAAAGCCGGTTTTCTTTCTGGTTCTGTCACAGGAACATAGGATTTCTACCGACTGTAGTCCGGAACTACAGTTCAGGAACAACAGTTTCCTCATGCGTTTGTGTTTATAGTCTCACCGCAAAGGAGAAGTGCCACCACTGAGGTTATTGTGTTATCTGAATTTGCTTAAAACCCTCCTTCAATTTTATTTTAGCAATGCTTCATATATATATGCCTTTTTGTTAGCAGTCAAGTTAATCTTTAAAAAGGTGCCCTGGTGGCGTCGATCATGACCTTTGCTGCAAGTCATCCCCCATCTCTTTCTCCCCTCGTTTCCTGTCATCTGTCTATCGGCTTTCTAATAAAGGCATCAAATGAGCTGACAAATATTTCGAAATCTGTTTTTCATTGCAGGAAGCTGTCTCAAACGCTTCCTTTGAAAAAAATACAAGGCTGTGCTTTGGCTATATCTTATTGCCGGTCATCTTTGTATCTCAAATTTCCTTTGTTTGACCACTCATACTTCTGCTGATCTAAAACAGGCGTATGAGCCTTGGTGGTGTTCAGCTCCATTAAGCTTCTTGATCAGGACCAGCTTATGCTTTGCTTTTGTCAGCGTTTTGATGTTTTTTTGCCGATTTACCAGCCAGATCGAGCTCATGGCTTAACTTGCAAGATACCAGTTTACCCCCAGAAACCACCTTAAACTGGTTTCTGGTGAACTAAAAACAGAATCACATCTGTCCAGGGGAAAGTGGATAAGTGGCTGTGGATACCAACAGCTCAGGTGTGCTTTGCAAACACTTAATCATACAAAATGTTCAGCGATGAGGGAACAGTTTAGCATACACTTTTACTTTCCATCATTTAAGTACTGCTGTACACACGCAGCATATCATTGCTCGGTCTAGATAAAGGCGTCGGCTGAATGCCTGAATGTAGTCTACTGTCCTGGTTTGGTCAGTGTGTTGCTGCCAGTGAATCAGGAGCTTCAGAAACATATGGCTTCACTTATGAACCTCCTCCCTCCCTGGCCTCCTCCCCTCTTTCCGCTCACCTCTTTCCATCTCCTCCCTGTCTACAAGCTTAATTTTCTTCCTCCCTCCCTAAAAGCATCGTCCTTTCTCAGCCTTTTTCTTCTCATTTTGCCTCACCTAATACCACCTGTATTTACAGAAGGACTGTGTGCGAGTGCAGTGGTGTTAGTACATGTGTTATGTTTCATGTTGTACCTGTGTGGTGAGGAAGGCAGGGGTCAGGGAGCCTGAAGGCAGCGCCGGGCTGTTGAGCGCAATGGAGACAAGGTCGCTTCCTGTCAGGAAGAGCGAGGAGGAGGAGATTTCCAACCCTTTGGGTTTCCTGCTTTTCAAAGGCCCGCTATTGGCGAATCTCCTGCATTCTGGCATCGCATGTGACCTCTCTCTCTCCCTCTGACCAGATGAGAGGTTTAGAGGTTGGGCGCTCTGCTCTAACTCATTAGTCTCTGAGCTCTGGCCCCGCCCCCTCCACAGTGCGTGGACAGGGCTTTGCGGCGGGGAGGAGGAGCAGGAGGAAGAGCGGGCCTGGACCGGAGACGGTCTGGAGGAATGGGAGGTCTCAGCCGAGGATGGGGGTGGGGTTGGGGGCAGGGATGAGTGGCCGCGGTTGGTTACGAATCGGATGACGGAGGAGCTGTCGCCGTAGTGATCGGATCTGGGCTCAGTCTTGATTGGCCGATGCGGTTCCAAGGGGTGCTGCAGGGTGCTGACGGTGAAGGAGGAGTACAGGCTGGAGTGGAGGTACTGGTTTCTCCCACCACCGTCCTCGTCGTCAGCCTCAGGCTCTGACGTCCCGCCCCCACTTTCCTCACTGCTGCGGCCCGACTCTACCACTGCAGGGTCCATCTTCAGGATCTCAGGGAACGACACAAACTTGTAGACGAACTTCTGGCCGATCACCTTCTTGATGATGTTCTGCAGAGGAAACGAGATGTGATTTTATTAGTGTAAGCCTCTTTATTAACAGTTTTGGTGTGTTGATTTCAATTGGTTTTCATGGCCCTTAGGACATAAATCACATCATGAAACCAGTCATATGGTTTAACAATGAATAGTTTTGAAGTGTATAAGTTGCGTACTTTGTCGTAGTAGTAGCGCAGGGCTCTGCTCAGCTTGTCATAGTTCATGTTGGTCTTGTTCTTGCGCAGCCCCCACAGCTTAGCCACCTCTTCTGACTTAAGCAGCTTGAACTCGCCGTCGTTAGACGTCCAGCAGATGAGATGTTTGTGGCTTTGGTCGATCAGCAGCTGTAGCAGGAACTGCCAGAGTGTGATGGAACTCTCCATGACGGGATGACACCGGAGACACAGGCGACCTATATAGGAGAATCAAGGCTTAATAAAATCACATCAACCACGCATTGCTTTGTATTATCAAGAAGATTGTCATCAAAACACATTGACATATTATCATCTTATTATAAATTCCCTGTCGTTTTAAAATGTGTCAGCAATCAAATGTCCTTTTACATCTCCAGCAAACATAACCTAAGCATTCATTTGGAGTCATGTTTCAGGCCACAACGTGAATTAAAGTTCAATATTTATCCCGTCTTTGATCACCTTGTTTGTCTGCTGTTTGGTGCTGGGTAGGTAGCATACAGTGGTTCTATCACTTTTTTTTAAATCAAAAACAGCTGTAGTAAACTGGTTTGATGAAAGAGGGGAGACTCAACCAAAACAATACAGTTGTGGTTCGTAAGAAAAACCAAATAATGAGCTAAGGAGACGCTAAAGAACACCTGAGTTGGCTGATAATTATCTGCGGATTTGTCAATAAGAGTGACACCTTTCACATCAAACATGTTCTAAGATCCATTGTTGGTATACAAATATTGATTAGTGCAGCTTTAAACCTTTCCAGTAAAGCCCTTAAAAAGGTCTTGTATTGAAATAATTGCACACATTGCTGTATTTTTGGGAATCATACGCCATAGAAGACATAAAGTGAAGGAAGGATCAAAGAAAAGAGGGTAGGTGGGTAGCAAGGAAGAGGAGGAGAAGCTGGAGGAGGAACTGTCGATACGAATGCAAACTGCAATCCTTCCTCTGGTGCAAACTCCACTAAAAACTACAAGCATAACAGAGCTGATCATGCCCACCCATCCTCTCCGACTGGGAATTCCCTGTCACACACAACAACACAAACAAACAAACACCAAAGGCTCTACTGGACATTATGATTCTTGAGCAAAATATGTAATCAATACGTCTATATGAGCTCACGCGCTTTTATCGCTTGGATTTGCATACTTTGGCTGCCTTCCAAAGCAGGATGGAGGCAGTAGTAAATACAAGTGTGAGTGAAGCCGCCATTGATGCTCAGGGTTACGCCTGTCCTTGTGCCCTTGCTTCACCTCCTATTTAAATATTAGAAAGAGCAGGATTTGTGGACAGATGAGTGACAAATTAGAAGAACATGTTTTGTATACTGTCTCTCTCTCTCTCGCGTGTGTGTGTGAGAGAAAGAGACAAAGAAAGAGAGAGGGCCAGACTTCCGTATGTTTCCATGGTGATAAAGCAGGATGTGGTCAGTGACCTTTTGCCAAGACAAGCACGAGCCTAACCGACGTGTTTACCTTGAAGCCGCCGACTGTCTGTGAGCGTCTTCCTGTCTGTTTCTCCGTCTCCTTTGTGCTCTCTCTCTCTTTCTCTCTCTCTCACTCTCTCTCTCTATTCAATCAATTTACAAGGTGCTTCATTAGCAGGAAATACAGAACTACTTACTGCCACAAGAAAACACAACAAATACATCATTAGAACCAGATTTCATTTGCAACCATGTTGATATCACAGTTTGCAGTTGCATCACAAATCCCCATGGCAACCACATCTGCCTCAGCAGTGGAGAAACATTGGAGGAGAGGACCTCGAACATTGCCACCAGAAGTGAGGGTTCCTCTACCCACCTTCATAATCGACCACTAATTCAACATGAAAACACAGTATGCATCCCTTCTTCTTGCTCTGTCTCTCTAACAGGAAACCACCCAGCAGAGAGGGGAAAGTGTGTGTGTGGTGCGAACAATGACCCATCGCCATGAACACACACAAACGCATATCCCCGCTTCCTTTTTCCTGCATGGGTGTGTGTGTTAAGTGATGGAAGAACTGTAGTGCTGTCTGTCTGTCTAAACGAGGACTTCCTGTCATTCAGCTTCAGGGGGGCGTCTTCCCGGAGTAAGGCCTTCCTTTTCTGGGAGGTAGGACGTCCTGTCACTGGGAACCACCAGGAACACACGCACACGCACGCACGCGCGCACACACACACACACACACACACACACACACACACACACACGCCCCAATACTTCTTTTTTAGAGAAACAATTCAACACAGGTCCACAACAGCATATGGAGAATGCATCTATGTCCTCATCGCAGACTCTGTTCGATCTATGTTCACCCTCTGAACAAATCTGGACTAGAGAGAAACAAAGGAGGAAATGTTGATTTTTGAATTTCAGAGTAAATTTGCACTCTCTTTCTCTTTCTTTCTCTCTTTGTGAGTACAAGTTAACACATAACTGATCCATGCATGAACATTTTCCTTCCTCAAATGTGAATCCATCAGATATACACTTCAGTGTAATTACGACACTCAAGACAAACCACACCAAAAAGTCGCACATGACCCTCCATCCCTTTTCTGGGCTTGTTATTTCTTTTTCTTGGAGGTATGTGTGTGTGTGTGTGTGTGTGTGTGTGTGTGTGTGTGTGTGTGTGTGTGTGTGCGCGCGCGCGCGCGCGTGCGTATGGGGAGGGAGTTGGGGTTCAGCTGGAACTCAAATGGTTCTTTGTTTTGCCCCAGTGACTCATTTTCAAGATGTTGTCTGCTGCCAGCTTCAATCCGGAAGCGCATGGCAATTAGTCTGCGAAGTCCAGACAAACCAGAAAGTCTACAACCAGACTTTTAAAGGAGCCACGGCTAATTTTTTCATCGGAGCCAGGACACTGACCTCTTTTCTTTTTCTTTATGTCGTCTCAAATGTAGCAAACTAAATTTTGGCAAATTTACGCATGCGTCTGTGCCAAACCCGGAGAACCCACGGCTTTAACACCTTTTTACGCACGGCATTAACGCTTATTACGCACAGGGTTAATCACTTACGCGCAGCATCGACGTGGTTTTCAAGTTGACAGTGAATATGTGAACCTGATCGGGTTTCATCAAATACGAAAACAGCTATATAATTGCGCTTCTGTCTCTCCGTTACGCACGAACCCGCACCCATAAAAAGTTGGAAGTAGAAGTAAACTTGTACCTACCCTGCTGTGGACGGCCGCTGCTCTTCTGCTAGTCTGGCCGTGTATGAGGTGTGTGTTTGTGTCTTATAGCGGTGTGTGTGTGTTGTGTCGGGGCTCCATGCCGCTGCTGTCTGAAAGCGGATCTGCAGCTTTTCTCTCCCCTGCCTTAGAGCAGGAAGTCGGGACGCGCAGACGGAGAACCGGCGCACTTCCTCTGGCGTAGTATTCCCGTCTGTGTAAACACACACACACACACACACACACACACACACACACACACACAGAGCGAAAGAGAGAGAGAGCGCTAATCTATATTTCCCAGAAACACAGTGTCTTTTTGACATGTTAACTCATGCACTTAAATAGCCTACAGGTAGACGCGTTCATTTTCTTCCTCCTCGTTCTCGTTCTCTCTCTCTCTCTCTCTCTCTCTCTCTCTCTCTCTCTCTCTC